AATAAATAAATAAATAAATAAATATGTTAATTTTTTTTTAAAAAACAGCCTTAATAAAAATTTATCAATTCTAAGATAGCTAACAGTCAAAATTCCTGATTTGGTAAATCACAGACCTCCGAGAAGAGACTTGTAAAAGATGGGAGGTGGGGACATGGAGGGTAAGGGGGGCATTGAGGGTGCCAGATTGCCTAATTATACCATCACTGTCCTCAGTCAAAAGACTGGCGGAACATCTCTACCTTACAAGCCCTGTGGAAAGGGCTCGGATGTTCTCTGGCAGAGCGTTCCACCAGGTAGGGGCCGCGGCTGAAAAAACCCTAGCCCTGGTTGGGGACAACCAGATCTCTCTCGGGCTGGAGACCCCCAGGAGGATCTTACTTCTGAGCGTGACAAAAAAAGCTCTTCTCGGGGCATATTTGTGTGTACAGGATCCAGAGTCTACTAAAAATACTCTCTTATCTTCATCCTCATCATCTTTAGAGATTCTAAAAGCATAACCACTATTTCCATTCGGTGGCGGCTCCGCACTGGTGGAATGAGCTCCCGGAGGAGATCAGGGCCCTGCGGGATCTTATGCAGTTCCGCAGGGCCTGCAAGACGGAGCTCTTCCGCCAGGCTTTCAACTAGGAGTCGCCGCCCCCAACCACCAACGAGCCGACCCGTAGTACTAACATCTGGCCGCTACCACTGTGCTCCAGAAGATCATTGAGCGAAACTGTCTGGTTGTATGGTAATTTCAGCATGCTATCTTATGCATTCAGTGTATTAGCACTAGCACTTTATGAGGTCTTGTTTTATTTTATTGTATTGAATTTTAAATTGTTTTAATGTGAATGTACGGTCATCTACAGACCAATTACGTAAGCCGCCCTGAGCCCACTCGCGAGGTAGGGCGGGGTACCTTGGGGTCCAACTTACCTGAGGGACCGCATTTCCCCATACATTCCCCAAAGAGCACTTTGGTCGGGGTCACAACACCAGCTGGTGACCCCGGGCCCCAAGGAAGCCAAGCTTGTGGCAACAAGGGCCAGGTCTTTTTCAGTGACGGCTCCTACCTGGTGGAACGAGCTCCCGGAGGAGATCAGGGCCCTGCGGGACCTTGTGCAGTTCCGCAGGGTCTGCAAGACGGAGCTCTTCCGCCAGGCTTATGAGTAGGAGCCGCCACGGCCACTTACACCACCGCTTTTTGTAAAGAGAGACCACCGGGGGGGAGTAACATCCTACCATCATCCCAGCCTCCCCCCCCCCCGTTACACAAGGTGTTAGGAGTTATGTGCATCCGCCGAACTGATTTTAAACTGTTTTAAGTTGTTTTAATTCTGTAATTTATATTATGTAATGTGTATACTGAATGCACTCGGTGACTTATGTAAGCCGCCCTGAGCCCGCTTGCGGGGAGGGCGGGGTATAAATATCATAAAATAAATAAATAAATAAATAAATAAATAAATAAATAAATATTGAGCAGAAGGACCTTAGAAACCAACGGGATTCTCGGGGCACAAGCTTTTGAGGGTCACGGCTCCCTCCCGCGCGGTAACTGACAAAAGGAGCGCTGACTCTCCAAGATTCGTGCCCCGAAAATTGTATCGGTCTCGAATCTAGCTGCTAGTTTGACTTGAATCTAGCTCTTCTACGGCAGATCAGCACGGCTGCCCACTTGAAACTCTCTCCCGCTTGTGACGTTCTTGTGCGGGAATCACTAGCTCAGGACAGAGCAGGGGGGAAGAGAAGGGAAACTGGAGAGCAGGGACTGACACGGGACTCCATGGCTTCTGTCAAGCCCGGGCTGCTTGCCTCGAGGTCTTAGGAGCCGACTTACTTGGCGGGAACGGCTGTCCACAGCTTTCCTGGACGAGGAGGAGGAGGAGGAGGAAGAGACGTCTTGCAACGTGAAGGCCGAGTTGGAGTGCCCCACAGTGGTCCTCCGACGGACGCCTGCAT